GGTCTCAGGGTCTGATCTGGTCTCAGTCAGTATATTCTTTTAAATCCCTCCTTAAAAATCCCTTTTATTAAACGGCTTTCTCTATTCGTTGTAAACATTTTGAATTCTCATTTTATCTTTTAGATGTTAATTACTTTATTTCTTCCTTATTTTACTCTAAAGAACTGTGTAAATATGTGTGAATGCCATCAAGCATGAGCAACCCTGTGCATGTGACACTCACAGAGAAAGGACAACAGGATCCTCTAGTGATGAAGCTCTCTCCATGTGTGGACTGACTGCGGGCCGCAGAGTGGCACCAGAGGCTGAACAAGGCTTCAGGGTGCTGGTGTGGGTGTGACTGCCCTCCTCCTCGCTGGCTAAGGGGGCACTGGCTCTGCGTTGCTGGCTGGATGTGTGGGAGCAGGGCTGGGTCTTATCCTGGGAGGTAAACAGGACTGCCTGGGATGTGTTTCCCCACATGCTTTGCACCTTAGAAGGGGAAGGTCCGGCAGCTGAAACACTGGAGGTATCAGAGATACAGTCTGTATCTCCAGGGTTGTGGCTGCCCTCCACCATGCTGTCCGGGGTTACAGGGGTCCCTACTCTGGGGTAGAGGTGGGGCTGAGCTGCAAACGAAGGGCTGCTGAAGTGAGAGGGCGAAGTGAAGCCGGAGGTACGATCTGACTGCCGCTGGTTAGCTGCTGGATCCAAAGTTAACACCTAAAGCACAAAGAGGGTGTGTCAGAGGCTCTGCAAGGGACTAAACCCACCACTGCTGAGTCACGTCACATACCTGTGGTGACGAAGGACTGGATGTAACAGAGCCTTCCCAGTCTGAGCGTTTACAGTCTGTTCTTTGCTTGTTCTGATAAATCTCTTTGAGAGACAGCCGAGGCTCCTGAGACGGAGTCTACGGGAGATGGGAGGTGACACATTTAGCCAAAAGCCAGTTGACTATCAATATTAAAAGCATTTTAACAGTCCCTCCAGAAAAACGCAATTATGCGATCGCAATGCATAATCAGCCAAAGTCCGCATATTCATGCGGGGGCCGCATTTTTTCAAATACGCTGCATTCGCTGCATAAATGCCGATTTCCGTGCATTTTTAGAAGTTGTAGCATATTCTTTTTAAAGCTGCAGAACTTGTTTGACTCATCAATGAGTTTTGAGCCATGGTTGTTTATTAAGGTCTGAATAAAAACAAGATGAGAACTTAATTATTCCAGACTTTTGTGATGTAGTGATGTGTTATCATAGGAAGTAATAAGAATGACTCTCTACATTAAGGTATAGCCTAGTGTGAGAACAGGGTGTTGGGGGAATCAGTTGTTTTTTTCTCCTTTTTCATCAAACCGCAGTTTTTGCAAGTTCCCGCAATTTTGCATAAAATTGCATAAATATCCCGCATATTCCATCGCATTTTTTAAGAAAACGTGCCGCATAATCAAGGATTTTTGCCTGCAACAATCACAAAAAAACTCCGCATTTTTCTGGAGGGACTGATTTAACGGTTTTAATGGTTTGTTTCATGCCTTGATAACATTCACTATACACTGTTGTTACTCACAAGACTCACAGACGCCTCTTGCAGAAGGAGGTAAGCGCCACTATCGAAGCTGTCTGGTAGGGGATGATACAGTTCGCTCTCATTCAGACGCCAGTAAGTGAGGCCTAAACAGAGACAAGAAAATATAAAATATGACCAGAGTTATATTTTAAAAAGCATGAAATATAACTGCAAGAGGGGAAAAATATGGTTGGGAATACACTGTAGGACATGATGTATTGTTACAGTCTCGCTCTGCTTTCACAGCAGTTTCAGGCGACATCCATCAAATTCAATGCTCAAACTGTGTGTAAAGCATAACGAGCAAACACACACACGTTTGCGACATGTTTCAGGAAATTAAAAAAAAGGAACTGATATTATTTTTCCTCATACACAAAATCCCTAGTGGTGCAACAGTGCCCTCTCACTGCCACTGGTGGTAACTGCAACAGGGCTTCATCTTTCATAAAAACTGTAATATTCTGTATTGTTTTATTTCATCACAGCCTTATCGGCAGTAATTTCTTCACACTGGCCGAGTCTTGTCGTGCTGTGTTTTGTCTGAGTCAGTGAATTGTTACCTGATGCCTCAGACATCAGGCTGTCACTCCTCCTCAGGGGAAAGGAGCTGGACGACGGCCCGGGCGGTCGCTGCTGAAACACGATAGAGATGAGTGGATTAGATTCAGCGGAGGGATCAAATGTAATCAGAACAACCGCAACAGACATTCACACCGAAAACAAAAACACTACAGATGCACAGGGCCGAGATAAAAATCTTATCTGCCCTAAAGGAGCAGCTGTTACCACCTGGTGAGCCGTACCTGGTCCTGGGAGTCTGAGCTCTCCAGGGGGTTTTGTTTGTGGGATTCTCCGAGGCTGCGTTGCTGCTCCTGGTACTCGGGAACTTGGGGGGAAGTTTGTCCTGCTTTGCTCTTCTTGGGCCTGAGTTTCTGCCTCTGGGCCCAGGAGGTCAAAAGTTGGCTGGTGCTGCCAAGAGAAGTCAGGGTGAGTAGAAAGTTTCATTTCATTTCTCAGACAAACTGTTGGTGAAATCATTTTAGGACATTTTAATGCCAGATGGAGCGCGGCCACACTGGGACAAAGTATCAAAGACCTCCATTAAAAACAGAAGGAATGATAAGACCTCGAATTATTTACCAATCCCATTATTTTATTGACATTTATATCTTATTTGTGTCAGCACTTCCCAGCAGTATGTAACAATAATTCCTCATAAAATCAATTAAGTGGCTGTAATTAGTGGTGAAATGTGCTCAGACGCATCAGTTGGCAGCTTCGTCAGTGTGCCTGCTGTGGAACGACGGGATGAGTTTTTAAGCTCTGAACTCTTGTGCATCCTGCTGTAACTCATTCCCCGAATTTCCAATAGAATATAATAAAATTATACGTGACTCTTCTGTGATATCGGCATTAAATCTCGGGCCATCGGCAGCCCTGCTCTGGAAAAATCCATAAAATGACAATGTGAAAACAATGTGACGAACTACCACCTGAATTCAGCTTTCTGGAGATGTTTAGCTGTCCGACCACAACTGTACTGTTTTACTTCACTCTCGCTGCTCTCAGCGTCGTTTTCAGCTGCAGCGGGCAGCTTTTTCTCTAAAGTCTCACTGCACACTACCTGCTCATCACCCAACTGACACAGTTATAGACTAACTGGCAGACATAGCGGAGCAATTAGCAGATAAAGAGCCAGATATCTCCCTCAGGAGTTGGTAGAGACCAAAAACTGAGCTAAAAATGAACGAGTGAGGACTCTAAATGAATGCTAATGGATGTGTAATTAAACAACCATTTGCTTTGCTTTTCCAAGTTCACTAAATTAACTTGATGTTTGAGATGATGTTATGTGAATGTCACCGCTGCCCCCAAGTGGCCAAAAAATCAGTTGATGCACGTTTAAACTGACGGGTTACCAGTGAACGGTGGCAGGGATTGGTGCGATGTCACAATAACATACAGCAGACAACCAGACGCATGCAGAGAAATCCTGCCGCTTTCTGTTTCAACCTGAAATCAAGACTTTTCAAGGCCTGCAGACTCCCTACCATAAGGAGTTGTGGTTAATGTGACAGCTCAGACATACCCGGAGGTTCTCTGCTGGTACACTAATGTGTTAGGTTCCTCCACTCCCAGAGTCCTCTCATTGGAAAAACCCTTCTGGCACCCGAGCACAGCAGTCTCTGTGGCTTCCTGGAAGTTCGGGGACCAACGATGCTTCTCCCTCCCTTGACTACCGTCCTCGTCTTTCCCAGGAGACCCAGCAGGTTCCAGGGTTGTTTCCCAAGCAGAGAGCGTCCCGTATCCACTGCTGAGCACTGTGGTCGCCCGCTCCTCCCCCTGGATGGCGGTCTCTGATCTCTGGAGTGGAGGTGAAGGGGAGCTAAAAGGGGTATGGGCAGGGGCGGCCAGGCTGTCATTGTCACTGGCTACATGTTTGCAGTCACTGGAGAGTAAGGGGAAAATATAGGCCTTTGTGTTTGTGGTAGTTTTGGTCACTGGAGTTGGAGAGAACTCTGTGTGTGCCTGGAAGCTGGCCTGGCGGTTCTGGAGCTGAACCAGGGCCTTAATTTCATCCTGAATTAACTTGGAGGAAAAAACAAACAAACACATTATTGTTTCACAGGATAATATTTTAAATGGGCTCATGTGATAAGACACGACTAAATGAAGGCGTACCTGTATTTGGCACTGGTATTGTTCTTGCTGAGCGAGTATTTGCTCTTGGTATTGCTTCTCAACCAGCTGAAACAGATGCAACCATCGGCCCTGTCGCAATAAAAAGGCAAACAAAGTGTCAGGTGACGTCATCACTCACAGCTGGAGCAGAGACAGGATCATTTTAAAACTACACTATATGTGTGTGTGTATTCTCACCTGCAATAATAAAACAGTTTGTGTCTTTTACTGTATTCGCTGATGTCAAACTTGTCTTGTTTGACTTTTAATTTGTAAAAACTTAATTTATTGACTCCCAGTTTGCACCAGCTGAATCCCGAGACCCAGAGTTTATTGTTTGACTGCCCGTAAAGTGAAAACCATCCGCTCCAGTGAGTCTTGCGACGGGTCCCTCGGGATCCCAACGCAATCCTCTACAGCAGAGGCAAAGTGGAAACGTCTGGTGCTTCTAAACTAACGTATGAACTCCCGTAACACCACAAGCATTAAAAGGGCAGCTCGTCTAATGAGTGCTTATTGCTTATTGTTAACTTCACTTGGCTCTTTGACCTTCACTGTGCAGAATGATGTATGTGCAGACACTAGAAGACGTTTCTCTGTGCTCACCTTAAATCTCAGTTTAACACCCGGACGTACATTCAGGATTTAACTAACTAGTTTGGGCATCTTGTGTCCAGCAGTTCAACTT